TCCACAATGCCAGTCCTGACTTTATTATTATGATTTTTTATTTTCCTTTTGTTTGAAAGATTTATTTATTTGAAAGGCAGAGATACAGAGCAGGTTGGGGCAAGGGGTGACAACTTCCATCTGCTGATTGACTCCCTAAATGGTGACAGCGGCCAGGGCTGGGCCAGGCCAAAGCCAGGATCCTGGAACTCAATCAAGATCTCCCATGAGGGTAGCTGGCAGTGACACAAGTACTTGGGCCATCACCACTGCCTCTCAGTATGTGCATTAGCAGGATGCTGGGTGCTAAGCAGAGCTGGGACTGGAACCCAGGCCCTCTGATATGGGATGCTGGTGTCCCAAGTAACATCTTAATTGCTGGGTCAAACTGCTGTCCTGAGAAAGGTCTCCAAAGTCATTTTGCAACCAAACTACCTTTGATTTTAATCTCCTCTCATTTTATTTTAAAGTAATTTATTTATTTGAAAGGCAGTGTTAGAGAGAGAGGGAGAGACAAAGAGTGACATCTCCCATCTACTGGATCACTCTCCAGCTTGCTACAATGGATGGATTTGGACCAGGCAGAAGCTAGGAGCCTGAACCTCCATCTAGGTTTCCCATGTGGTTGGAAGGGTGCAAAGTACTTGAGCCATCTTTCACTGCTTTCCCAGGCACATTAGCGGGGAGTTGGGTCAGAAGCAGAGCAGCTAGTACTTGAACCACGGCTGAGACGCAAACTGGTGTTCACTTGGGATGCCAGTATAGCCTGGCAGCAGCATAGCCTGCTGTGCCACAACACTGGACCCCCTCCTCGCCTCTCATTCTATTTATTTTTTAAAAGGACACAGGCTTTAAAAGCATGTGCATTATTTTATTTATTTCTTTTTTTGGATTTATTTATTTGAAAGGCAGAGATATACAAAGAAAGAGAGAGAGAGAGAGAGAGAGAGAGAGAGAGAGAGAGAGAGGAAGATCTTCCATCCACTGGCTCACTCCCCAAATGGCTGCAACCACCAAGCCTGGGCCAGTCTGAAGTCAGGAGCCAGGAGCTTCTTCCGGGTTTCCTGTATGGGCACAGGGTCCCAAAAACTTGGTCCATCTTCCTCTGCTTTCAGGTGCATTAGCAGGGAGCTGGATCAGTAGTGGAGCAGCTGAGACTGAAAATGGCACCCATGTTGGATGCCAGCACTCCAGGCTGTGGCTTAACCGTCTACACTACAGCACCGGTCCCTATTTATTTATTTTTAAAATTTATTTATTGGGGCTGACCCTGTGGTGCAGTAGGTTAATTCTCTGCCTTTGGTACCAGCATCCCATATAAGTGCCGGTTCTAGTCCTGGCTGCTCCACTTCCAATCCAGCTCTTTGCTGTGGCCTGGGAAAGCAGCAGAGGATGGTCCTGGTGCTTGGGCCCCTGCACCAATGGGGGAGACCCAGAAGAAGATCCTGGCTCCTGGCTTTGGATCAGCTCAGCTCTGGCCACTTGTGTCTACCTGGGGAGTGAACCAGTGGATGAAAGACCTTTCTGTCTCCCTCTCATTGTCTGTAACTCTACCTCTCAAATAAATAAATAAATATTTTAAGAAAATATTTATTTAAAAAGAGTTCCAGAGAGAGAAAGAGAGAGAGAGAGAGAGAGAAAGAGATCTTCCATCCTATAGTTCACTCCCCAAATGGCCTCAAACAGCCTGGGCTGGGCCAGGCCAAAGCCAGGATATTGGAACTCCATCCAGGACTCCCATGTGGATGCAGGGGCTTCCGCTGCTTTCCCAGGCTCATTAGCAGGGAGCTGGATCAAAGTGGAGCACTGGGGACTTAAACTAATGCCAATATGTGATGCCAGCATTGCAGGTGGTAGCTTTACACCACAACGTGGGCCCCAACAAACATGTATTTAGATCCTACTATCATATCAGGCATAGCACAAAGTCCTGGAAATAAAAGAATGCTTCAAATACATTCCCTACTTTATGGAATTCATGATCTATGAAGGAGAGTGGCAGATACACAGTTGATTGTAAAGTCATGTGATATGGTAGAATGTAGAAATCAGAATAAAACACCATAGGACAATTGAAAAGAAGCAATTGACTTTACCTAGGGGAGTGAGGAAATGTCATGGAAGATACAATGTTTCATTTGGATCTTGAAAGAATGAATGCTTTTATTTAAAACAAGAACAACAATCTTTTATTCTAGGCTTTTGATTCAGACTTGAAGTAGTTTTGTAGGAATTCTTTGAAAGACAGCACCGAAACTTCTTAAGACATGTAAACATATTTTCAGTTGAGAAGAAGACATTTTTCAGATAGTATTGATTGTATACATTTTTAGAAAGATATATATATATATATATATATTTATTTGAGAGGCAGAGTTACAGAGAGAGAGAGAGAGAGAGGGAGAGACAGAAAGAAAGGTCTTCCATTTGATGGTGCACTCCCCAAGTGGTCACAATGGCTGGCATCAGGCTGATCTGAAGCCAGGAGCCAGGAAATTTTTCTGGGTCTCCCTTGTGGGTGCAGGGGCCCAAGGACTTGGGCCACCTTCTATTGCTTTCCCAGGCCATTAGCAGGGAGCTGGATGGGAAGTGGAGCAGCTGAGACTCGAACTGGCACCCATATGGGATGCTGGCAGCCCATAATTGTATAAAATTGTTTAAAAAATTATTCAAGAGGCAGAGAGAGAGATAGAGAGAGAGAGAGAAAGAAGCTACCATTCACTGTCTTATTTCCCAAATAACTGCAACAAAGCCAGTAGCCAGCAACTCAATCCACATTGCTAACATGGGTGGCAGGAACCCAACTACCTGAGCCATCACCAGTACCTCCCAAGGTGCACATTTCCTGGAAGCTTGAATTGAGAGTGCAGCCAGGTTTCAGAACCCAGGCACTCTGAAATGTGATATGGAATGAAGATGGGTGCCAAACCCTGTACACATTTTTAGATTTATTTACATACATCAAAACAAGAATGACTTGGCAATTAAAAATATTAAATAGATTGATATTGTATGTACACATGAAGTAACTCTTGGAACTACGTTTGTATTCATTTGGGGTAAACCAAGGTAATTTTATGTAATGGGCAAAATAACATAGTATTATTTGGAAATACTAAACTTTTCCCTTCATAGCTTTTCTGATTTATGTGGCATAAACAAACTACATAATGGTATGAGGGACTATAAAGATTTTATTGCCACTTGTTTGGTATTGCCAGCACCAGTGGTGGGTATCTCAAACTAAGTGCCATAAAACATTTACAGCATGCCACTCCGTTTCCTGCACTTCCAAAACTCCAGTGCGCACAAAAGTATAAGTTCTTATACATAAAGTATCTGGCTGTGAAAACTTTTCTATTTAGAGTCCAGATTTCCACTCTGCAGGAAAAAAAAATACATGTTGTAAATGAAGATTTTCATTACCTCTCGGAAGGCTCTCAGGCTACTCTGGCAAATTCCTTCCCCCAAGGAAAACGAATTTTCAAAGATATCCTCAGTAAATGCATACTCCAATTAACATAAAATTGGCAAGGTCATTTGTGCCCACACCTTTGAATTCATTTGTAAATAACTACTACTTTCGGCCTCGGTTCCTCACCCGGGGAAACCCGGCTCCAAACATTACAGGTGCAGAGGGGCTTACAGAGAGGGATGAATAAGAACAAAAGGATGTCGGCGCCACGAGGAAAACACAATCTCCCAGAACAAGATTAATCCCATACTAGGGCTTACCCAAGTTTAAACTGCTTTTCAAATGGTCATCAGCGACAGTGTGTCCTGTTTATTATAAAGCTCTATGCTGGGCTTATCTTGAGGGGTAGATTTCTGGGTTGAAGCCATAGTGATTTTTCCAAAGGGAGGTAGGTAGGTGGTCATTATGCTTTACTGTCATTTTGACTTTTAATTTCTGTCTTAAGGGCCGAACGATTTCCACGACCTTCACTACTCCTGAGAAGGAACACAGCGTTGATATGCAACAGAAGATCCTCAATAGTCACTCATTACCCAAACCAAACACTCGCAGGTCAGCTAAGAAACGTCCGGGTGCAGCCCTGCTAACGCACCAAGCCTCAAATACACAACAAAAAACCCAACGTAGAGTGCGTGGGGCGTTTAAATTTTCTGAAAGTCATCCAGAAGGTAGGTGGACTAATCAGTGAAGAGGCAGTATTTGTCTCGGGACAGGAGATTCTGAAACGCACAGCGAGCAAATCCCCGAAGTGGGGGTGGGGACAGTTAATAAGAACCCCTGGGAAAGGCCCTTTCAGCAAGGATTGGAAAATAATACATTTGAATTTGAATCTCTTTTGAATATAAATCTCCCTTAACAGCAGGAAAAGAGTCCCGTAGCCCTGCAAGCTTTGGGCAGGAAGGAGGTAAACCAACTGTAAAACAGCTCGTTCAGCTGTTTTTGCTTCGGAGCGCAGGGAGAGAAACAGCGACCTGGGAACCGAATATTTGAGTCCCTCAAAATAACCCGAAGGGTCAACAACGAAGTCCAGGCCGAAGCGCTGACAGCCTCCCGCTTTGCCGCACCTTACACCCCACGCTAGGTTGCCGCTCGCTGTCCCCTCCCCCGCGCCGGGCCACCGGCAGGCGCGGCCCCTTCCCACGCGGGGCGCGGCGAGCGCGGACAGCGCTGCTCCGAGGTGCGGAGGGCGGGAAGTCTGCCGCCCGCCGACTCCACTGGCTCCGGCTAGCGGGCGCTCCTCCGCCGCGGCTGCCCCTCGTGAGGCGGCCGGTAGCGGCGGAGGCCTCGCTGGCCGCCCGCCTGGCCCGCGAGCTGAGAGCGCGGGGCGCCGAGGGGAGGCGGGGCGAGGCCGCGGGGCGGAGGGGGGCGGGAGGTGCATCCTGGGAAATCCACCAACATGGGGCGAAGCGGCCGCCGCCGCCGCCGTCGCCGCCGCCGCGAGTCCCGGCCGCGGGTTCCGCCGCTTCCCTGACGGCCCTCTGGGGCCTCGCCGCCCGCTGCGGCCCGGGTTCTTGCGGCACAGACTCGCCAGCGCGCCCTCCTCCCGTCTGCCCGCCGGGGCCATGTGAGGGGGCAGCTCCCTCGACCGCCGCCTCCTCCTCCTCCTCTTCCTCCCCCCGCCCCTCCCTCCCTTCCCGCCCCCCTCTCACAGGGCCCTAGAGGAGCCCCCACAGCTGCCCGCCCTCCCTACGCAACCCCCACGATGGACAGGAACTACGCGACCTCGGGCTTCGCGGACCCGCCGCCGCCTCCCGCGCCCCCCGCCAGCGCCGCCGCACAGCCCCCCACCCCGACCTGGGCCTACGAACCCCGATCCGCGGCCGCCGCCGCCAGCAGCAGCTGCAGCAGCAGCGGCAGCAGCCCCAGCCTCAAGGCCAGGTAGGGAGGGTGGGCGGCGGGGTCGCGGTGGGCCAGGAAAGGCCGGGGATGTGTTTGGGGCCTTCGCGCGGGTGCAGCGCCGCCCAGGGGTCCGGGCCCGGCGGGGAGCCCTCCGTTCGCCCTTGCTCCCGCTCAGGGGAGGGGGCTGATGACTCCTATGGGGTGGTCCCCGGGGAGTGGGGGACGCCTGGTGCAGGATTCGCGCCTGGGGCTGGCGGGGGGGTGGGGTGGACCGTGGCTGGAAGAAGGGCTGGGCGGGAGTCTTGGGGCTCCGTCACCTCCCGGTCCTGGGCTCTCACATGGTGAAGTTTGGGCTCGTGGCTGAACTCGGGATCCGGGAGAGCCCCAGGGCTGGCTCCTGCGGGCGGAGGGAGGCGCCGGGGACTTCGGGGCAGTGACATTCCATTGTATGGGAACCTCGGTGGCCCACAGTGTGGTCTCGGGGGCCTCGGCGGCCAGGGTGGGGGAAGCGGGAGAGGAAGAGGCGCAGAGTTGCGTCCCCTCACCCTGGGGGACCCAGGAGGACTGGGCTAGCCAGAACCTCCGGGGCTCGGGGCCGAGGAGGGGGCCCGGCGGGGCGCGAGTGCTGCGCCGGGGCTGGGTGACATATGTTTGCACTGGTGGCCAAGATCGAGCGATTTCTCTTCCACGCGTTCGAAGTTGCTCTTGGGTTTCCTCCCGTTTTAACAACAGCAGGAAGTAAGGGATCTCTCGGCGCTTTCTGGACCTTGGGGGTGACTGAGAGTTGGGGAGAAATGGGGTAGGGGGAGTCACTGACGGCCATAAAGGTTCCAGAACCGAAGCATGCTTCTCCATCTCGGCTTCGTTACGTAGCGTGGGGTTCAAGAGTTCATCTGTCCTCCAGCAGGACCAAGGGAATCTAAAATGTTGGCTCCTGCTTGATACTTAAGCTCGCGGGAAATGTGTAGTAGTGGCACACGGTGTAGCAGTCCAATTTGAATGATAACTGGAAGGCGTGGTCTGGCTTGGAGGATTCGGGAGCCGGGTGTTTTAAAGCCACCTCTCCGGAACAATACTGAATCTGGTAGGTGCAGCTTCTGATTACAAGGACCAGGGAATCCTGGGTTGCTAATGACTTCATCCCCAGCTACCAACAGGAAGCTTCGTGGCTTTGTGATCTCATCAGGTTTCTTTATTATTTGCACGACAGAAGTGAACTTTTTTTTTTTACTTAATATATTACAGTGTTCTAGGTTGTCGTCTTTGTTTGTATGCAAGTTCCACGGTCATGATTTGGAAAATATGTGTGACGAATAGCTGTTCTTTGTCTTAGATTGTACCTTGGGATGATTGTGAAAGAATGAGAAAAATTTTCTTTAAGAAAGAGGGGGGAAAAACCTTGTTAGAAAATTTTAGGTCCTTTGTTTAAAAGAGCGGGGAGAAAAAATAAATGTGGTATACCAGTTTGGAGCTAAATAATTCAGCGCTGAAACCTTTCACAAATAGCAGTCATTTTGTATTATATATAAGTAAGCTGTTACAAGAAGTTTCATGAAAAACATTTGACACTTTTCCTATTCTTTTTTTTGTGATAATTTAACCATCGTTTTCCAAGTAGCTTTTGCATTGAATATGATGATTTTCACAAGTTAAGATTGCTTGCTGTTTAGTGAACAGCAGTGATAGCTGTTTGTGCAGAATATTTTGTTTCAAATGGAAAATGTATTAGGTAAATGAAAATGAAATACTATCTAGTTTTTTTTTCTGTTATTTCTTTTAGCAGAATACTTCTGAGGCAAGAATCTAAAAATCCAATTGTCATATTTTCCAAATGTTATTTATCAAAGTAACAGAGTGACTCCCCAAACATATTTGAAAACAGTAAGTAGATTCACTTGGACCATGGAATCTAAAAGAGACTTATTTTCTGTTTTTGTTTTTTTTTTTTTTTTTAATAATTCTTAAATGTTAGCCCTCCTGCTTTAAAAAAGGGTTTCGGGGGTGGGGTCAGCTGAATTATAGCATTGAAAATGCAGGCTTTCCCCTCCCCCATTAACCTGCTTTGTTAACATCTTGTGTCAGGATCAGGCCATCTGTACAGGGCTGTACACACTTCTTAATTGTACCTCATTTTATTTCTCAAACTGTGCAAAAGTCCTCTTTAATTCAGTTACATCAAAAATCCTGAATCTTAAATAGCCCTGTAAGTCTTAAAATATTCTACATTTCAGAAGCTTATTCATATTTTTATGACATTTAAAAAAGCTTTTTCATAATTCATGCACCAGTTGAATGTTTTTGTTCCCCTTTGTGGCAGTTTCTTCTGAAGGTGCAAATGAGTACAGTAGGATGATGTAATGTGGATATTTATCCATAAAGAATTAGCCTGTCTGTCACCTTGTTTCCTGTAACCTATTCAAAAGCTGACAGATGGTAATGACATTTAGTTGTTACTGACACAGGATCCAACATCCTATGTCTTTGCTTGTTCTTGAAATGCAGCGTTTTCATCAACTGATGGGAACATGCATGGTAAACAATTACTTATGAGTCTGAAACAATACTTTTTTAAAAAAAGATTTATTTATTTATTTGAAAGGCAGAGTTACAGAGAGGCGGAGGCAGAGAGAGAGGTCTTCCATCTGCTGGTTCATTCCCCTAATGGCTGCAACGGCTGGAGCTGCGCCGATCAGAAGTCAGGAGCTTCTTCTGGGCAGGAGCCCAAGGACTTGGGCCATCTTCTACTGCTTTCCCAGGCCATAGCAGAGACCTGGATCAGAAGAGGAGCAGCTGGACTCGAACCGGCACCCATGTGGGATGCCGGCACCATAGATGGTGCTTTACCTGCTATGCCACAATGCCGACACCTGAAACAATACTTTTAAGATACAGTAGTTCCATTAGAGAAAAAGAGAGACTGGAACCCTAAGCATTTTACCTTAAATAGGGCTTCTAGAGTATTGCTAAAAAGCAGTTCTTGCTAGGCACTTGAAAAGTTCAGGAGTAAGAACTGGTCATACAAATCCATTTATTTCTGCTCTTCTCAGTGTTAGTACCTTTTGTGGAGCTATTTTGGATGCCGTAAATAGCTTTGCATGTTTGTGGAAGTAAGACAGTCATGAGGAAGCTGCCTACCTGCTGTGTAGTTCTCGACGTGATTGCTGTGTCTTGTGCAGAACCAGGAGAGGTAGGCTGTTTCATCACAGTGACAGTACATGTGTGACTGAATAGAAAAATTTCTTTTTAAACAGATCTATATTATTTTTGCCTTTCTGACTTAAAAGTCTTTTTTTGTTTTGACCACCAGGTTTTAGAATTCCTAATATATAACTTCTTCTGATTACAGCATGAATGTATAACGAGTGATGGGTACCTCTCCAAAAAGCCAGATAATGACTAGCTTCTCTAAAAATGGTCTACTTCTGTATGAAGGACATTTGCTTAACTGTGTTTTGCATAAGTTTATTAAATATAGAGTTTTCCTTAAGATTTTTAGAAAAAGACCTGGAAAGCCATTGTAATCCATAAGCTGTACTCTGGAAATTTATATTCATTAAATAAAAGTTAAAAAAAAAAAAAAAAAAGAAAAAGACCTGGTAAGCTCATAATTTATAAGGAACAAGGGAATCCCAGTTAGTGAAAGTATTTCAGACACATTTCTGTTGTTACAGTGTACAAAACATTTCCCTGTAGCAACAATGTTATAAATATTAGCAGCTATCATTTACCTCATGAGCAACTAGTCTTTGCTAGCAGGTTTTACATGACACACACACATGTGTACACAAACAGATTTTTCTTTAATACTCAAAACAGCCCACTGGGGATAGGTATTACTTTTGTCTTCCTAGAGATATTAAGTGATATACCTGTAACCACACAGTAAGTAGTACAGTTGGGGGTGGCCAGCCCTGTGGCGTAGATTGTTAAACCTCCGTCTGCAGTGCCGGCATCCCATATGAGTGCTGGTTTAAGTCCTGGCTGCTCCACTTCAGATCCAGCTCCAGGGGCTGGTGGTTGACATATTCAGTTAAGATGCTTATATTCCATATTTGAGTGTACCTGGGAAAAGCAGTGGAAGAAGACCCAAGCACTTGGGCCCCTACACCTATGTGGGAGACCTGGAAGAAGCTCCTAACTCCTGGCTTCAGCCTGGCCCAGCCCTGGCTGTTGCGACCATTTGGGGGATAAACCAGCAGATGGAAGATTTCTCTCCCTCCTTCTCCTCTCTGCATTTCTGCCTTTCAAATAAATACATCTTAAAAAAAGTAATAGTGGAGATGGGATTTACACCTGGGGCCTGCATGGTTAACCATGCGTCTTGGTAACAGTTTAATGCTGTAATCCGCCTATATTATTGTTAAATGAGCTTTGTTGTGCTAGCCTAGAAACCTGAGAATCATTAACATTCTTATTTCAGCGGTCTGTGTCACCACTGACCATTTCCCAACTGAAATACATGTCCTTTCACTTCTGTAGTACTTGTTTCCTGGTTTTCTTCCTACCACTCTGGCCCACTGCTTTTCCCTGTTCTTCACTAGTTCTTGTTCTATCTAATCTCTATGTGTTGTTTCCTCAGGGCTTGGGAGTGATAAGATTTCTTGTCTTTTCTCTGCTTTCTCCAGAGGACTTCACATCCATGGCTGTGTCTTTAAGTACCATCTCTGTAGATGCCCCTGTTTGTATCTTTAGTTCAGATCTCTGCTGAGCACCTCACATGTCCACTTACCTCTTTCTCGATCCTTTACTTGGGTATATCATGAGCATTTAATGATGAGCTCAAGCCTTTACCACCCATTTTACATGTGCTTTTCTAGTGAGGCCCATCCCTGTAAGCCATAGCTTGTGGTCCACCTAGTTATTCAGTCCAGAAACCTGGGAGTTACATGGGGCCAGTCACTAAGGCATACTGCTTTTTTTTTTAAAAATTAATCTCTTAAATAAATCTCAAAAATTTTTATTCTGGTTTAACATTGATGATCAAAGCCACCATTATTTTTTACTTGGATAACTGCAGTAGCTTCTAACTGGTAATCTTG